GGATGCATGCCTGAGTTTGTAGCCTTTGGACAGTGCTATGTCTCTTGTTCTATACTCTGAAGAAGCCTTCTCGGAAAACTCTACCCTAGCCTTCTTCATTCCTTGCCTGGCCCCAAGTTCTCTGTCTGGGTTTGGCCCAAGCTAGCAAAAACACGCTTTAATATTACCTGTACCTTAGTCCACTTTCTGCATCTATGGGCTCTGTACACTCAAATTCAACCAACTGCACATAGAAAATATATTTTAAAATTTCAGTCTGGCATGATGCCACACACCTGCAATTCCAGCATTTGGGAGGCTGAGGCAGGAGAATTGCCATGAGTTCAAGGCCAGCCTTAGCTGCATAGTGAGTTTAAGGCCAGCTTCAACTACATAGTGAGATCCTGTCAAAAATAAGCAACAAAAAAAACAAAAAACAAAAAAATTAGAAGATTCCAGCAAATAAATCTTGAATTTGCTGCACACTGAATAGTATGCTGTGTCCATGCAAGTGAAATGATGTGTACCCACTCTATTAAATATTGTTATGGTTTGTATCTAGATGTCCCCCCCCAAAGCCTCAGGTGCTCATAGGTGAGACTTTTCAGAGTTTGCTGGACCTAAGGTGTATGATGGTGGGATTAAGGGTGTGTGGTACTAAATTAAGCCCACTGGTTGGAATCAGCATTGTTTGGGGTGTGGCTGAGTGGATTTACTAAAGACAGATGTCTCACCTTGGGTGTGGGTGGCACCCCCCCCCCCGAAAAGATTTACAGCCTGGATGGAATATAAGGGACACAAAGAAGGCAGGCTCACTGCCTTCTGCTCGCCACACCATGGCAAGCATGGCAAGAGGTCTGTTTCTTCTCTGTGATGTCCCTCTACCATGCTGCCTGCCTTGGAACCAGCTGACTATGGACAGAAACCTCTACAAACTATGAGCTGAAAAAAACCTTTCCTCCTTTAACTTGTGGATGTTGAGTATTTTGTACCAGCAATGAGAAAAGTAACTAAGACAGATATTATAATTGATCTAAATCTAGAGAAAATTTAAAGTACACAGTGAGGTTGTATAGGTGATTTGCATATTGAGAATTACAAAGAGGATTTGATTAAGTTGATAATATATTTCAATATTTACCAAATTAAAACTGAACAATGCTTAAAATACTTATTAAGTGTATATATTACTAAACCATTTACATGTAAATATATATTTTATGTTTTCAAAAACATTTTTTGATACAGGATCTATGTCAGGCTGGTTTTGAACTCATCAAGTAGCCCAGGCTGGTCTCAAACTCACAGAGCTCCCCCTGCCTCAGCCTTCTGAGCACTGGGAAAATAGGCATGCTCCACCATATCTGGCAGCTTTCAAAAAATTGCCCTCACCTAGCCTGGGGAGGTCTTTGACATGTGACCTTCAGTCTCTTCATCCACAACCCAGGGCAACAGAGTTGATAACCAACAGACTGACCTGACCAAAGAAGAGACCAATGCCTAGGTGGAGAGTTTTGCTTCAGGACTTAAGCCATACCCTTCTACAGAGATTGGGTGAGAGAGAGCCTTGGAGGGGATGAGAGCTAATAATGATCTCCTGGGATACCCTGGGAAGCCCAGGGAAGCTTACAGGGCCTTTATTCTGTAGTGAGAGACCAGGTTTTGTGGGAGTACTCATCAGAGGGGATGATATTGAAGAAGGTATATGGTCTAGTGATATGTTTGAGCTCTGGTACTGCTGCCAACATCCAGCAGAAATCGGTAGTCTGGATTACTATAGGTCAATCTAAGGGGTAGCCTAGTTGTCTTTATTAAAATCTGAGTCCTTGATAAAGTGAGACCTTGCCCCCCAAAGAAAATTAGAGTCCTTATTGTTTTGGTAAAGGGCTGTTCATGAGTGGTTTTAGAGTTTGTCAATATCTAGTTGACATACGATGCTATTATTATCACTAACTTTACTACCACAGACAAAGTAACATGGTACTGGCCAGCAATTGGTTTTCTCTCTATACCAATACCTAGACTGCCTGGAGTATCATAAGCAAAACTGTGGCTTGCTCCCAAAGAACAAGGCATTGAGCCAAAGAATTTACAAGCCCAAGCACAAAAAACAAAAACAAAACAAAAAACATATTTTGAAAAGACAAGGCAACAGAATGCCTCCAAAAACTCCCAACTCCCTCAAAATCAGTACAGGGGTCTTTGAGGGGAAAGAAATCATAAGCTACACAGCAGATAGGTCTGAAAGGTACATGGAGGTAAAATAGTCCTATAAAGTGTTAGTGAATTTAAAGATATAACTAATAACATATGACTGCAAAGAAACAAATGATCAGTGGGTCTAGAGAAGACACCAGCTCGTGCAGCTAAAGAAAGAGATGCAAAACGTGAATGTCCAGTGTAGAAAACAACAGGAGTCCATAAGAGAGTTCCAAACAGAAATCCAGGAGATTAAACACAAGATTGAAAGTATGGGCAGTAGAAGTGACCAATGTGACGACAGTGTCAGGCCTGGAGGACAGGGCTGTCAGGTCAATAATGATCAATTAATGAGAAATACCTTTAAAACAGTAAGGGAACAGGAAAAATGGATCCAACAGCTCCTAGATGAATCAAAGAGGACTAACACAAGACTAACTGGAATTAGTAAAATATCAGAAGATAGCACAAAGGGCATAATAATTGTTTACACAAGTAATGGCAGAAAATTTTCTAACATGAAAAAAAGAATGTAACACACAAATAAGTGAATCTTATAGAGCCCTAAATAGCCATAATTTAAAAAAACCCATCCCATGCCACCAAATAATTAAAATACCAAGCAAACCTGTCACGATCCACCTGCCTTTGTAACTTTCCACCTGAGCCTGTTGAGGTTTTTTTTAGAAAGTTCTTATAACTTGATACTTGAAAACAATGGTTATCCTGAGTTTCTTAAATCTCCTTGAGCCACTGTATCTGCAGCTCTTCAAAGACAAACCACTGTTCAGTAAACCAAAGGAGGGGAAAGGCTCCAGTTCCAAAGTGCAAAAATGGTAGTTTTTATCAACCTGATCTATGTGTCAGTCTCAGTTCCAATGGGGATCAATGCAATGATCTCATTGAAATGTAGCTATGTACATTCCAACCCTTCTGTCATTCCTCCATTCATCCATTCACCTATGTAGCTGGGACCCTGAAGCTCCCCTTGGCATGAGGATGGCTGGACAATAGCAGAACAAATCCAGGAATAAACAACTACCTACCACGCTGCCCATTTCTCTTAGCCACCAAGGTCACCATGACATAGTTGAAGATTTGGGGTCACTGGGATGACAGGAACATAGTCCTAGACCCCACTTTATCCCTTTCAGAAAAAAGTTTGTAGAGGGTGACTACTTCCCAGGCATGAGTGAGCAAGATAAATTCAAAACACCCAAAGAGATCTGGGGTCCCACCTTGAATGGGGCCTCCTTTTGGGGAACCCCTTCCCCATCGCTTCACCAGGGAAGATTGCTCTTTACCTTTCCAGCAGTATGATTCTGCCTTCCCCACCTCCAAAAGGGACTGGGTGAAAGAAAGTGTCAAAACTGGCACCTCCCTTGCAAACCATACCAGAGACCACAGAACTCTGTCCCCCTGCCGGCCCCAAATACAAATGCCCATGATGGTCAAGGCTCAGTAATAGCATTCCGGGCCTCCATATCCTTCTGCCTCCTTGACTGGCTCCCCATTCACCAATTGTCAACCAGGATTTGTTGGGGTGGGCAAGAACCTCTGAATTAAGAAAAGCAAGAAGTCCTCTGACGGACTCAGTAGAAGGTAGAGGTATGGAAGGGAATAGAGCTAATACAGGAATATGGTTCTTCTGGAAAGACTCTGGAAACCTAAACCTGACTCGAAGACTGAAGAACACACCATCTGGAGGGAGGGCAAGTGAATTGAACACAGGAAGGAATTTCTTCACCTCAAGATTATGTAAATGGGTCTAGAGTGGAGTGGGCATGGGACTTACCAAGGGCAGTGGTGTCTGTGTAGACAAAGAAAGTAGGGTAGAGCTAGGACCCCAGCTCAAGGCAAGGACATGCCCCTGCACCTCTAACACCATGAGATAAATGCGGTTTCTCCCCAAACACAGGCCTCGGGGTTGGTCCAAGCCTGCACCTCTCCTTGTCCCAGAGAGCCCTCATCCTACCTGCACCCTTCTCCCAGCTACTCCCAGCCTCCTACACCCAGCACATGCCAGGCATTCATTCTCCTACCTCCAACTCCCAGAACTTCTCCTACTCGCCCACCCATGAGCCCACCTGCCCTTCACCCTCCTCTTCTGACCCCACCTCTGGCCCCACCTCCTCCACCCCACCCACTGCCCTCAACCTCCTACCTTCATGCCAGCCGCTTCCCTCACTCACCTCCTCCCACTCCACCCCTGCCTCCACATCACCCTTTGCCTTTATCCAACCTGCATACTACTCCGTTTCCCCACCCCCACTGCCTTCACTCTCCCACCCACTCATAAGAACCCTGCCCCCTCTTTGCCTAACCCTCAAAGTTGCATCCCCCGTGGCGCCTCCTAGACCTACCCAACATTCCCCTTCATCCTACTATCCCTAATTGCTCCCCTCCCTCCAACATCTACCCCACTAAACTGTCTCTTCACTCCCTCACATCCTCTCCCACCTCTACTTCCATTCCCTGCCCACAGCTCTCTTCTGGGAGTGGCCACAGGCGCCACTCATCCCGCCTCCCGCCCTTCCCCCAACTCCCTCCCCCTTCCACGCCTTGAGAATGTTCCGGATTTCTTCCTTGACTCCAGTGAATCTCGCAAGATTTCACACGAGAAGCTAGGATTGGTCGATTCCTCGGTTTGTGAAGGGCAGGGGCGGGGAGTTGCCTCGTGAGTGACTGCTGACCTCCAGTCAGCGTCTTAGTGAGCAACGTTGTGGTAGAAAATGTAAGGGGGGGGGGTTAGCTCAGTGGGACCGCGCCTGGCTCGCAAGTGCAAGGTCCTGAGTTCGATCCCGGGTACCGCAAAAAAAAAAAAAAATAAAGCTTTGTTTTCTCACAGAATGACCTTAGGTCACCAACCCCTCCCCTGGGTAGCGTTGAAAGCAAGCGAATATGGGGCAAGGTGGATATCAGTCTGGACTACCAGGATGCCCCCGTGAGAGTTTTGGACATAACCAGTAGGGATGCCTGGGCTTTCTGTTGCTCTCATTTGCTGGTGCATTGGAAATGGGTCCCTCTGGAGGTGTTGCGAAGAGGAGTAGGCAGTTCAGCCAAAATCCCAGAAGGAGCAAAGGAGCAAAGGAGCGGCAGAGATTTGGTGGCAGAATGACAGCCATTGTCCATGGGTGAAGAGTCACTTGTGACTGAGCACAAGGTCTGTCATTCAGCTTGTCCTCAGGTTCAGCTGAGGACAAACTGGTTTTGAGGTTTGGAGTAAGACTCCTACAGATAGGGCAGGATCTAGTGTTTATTTTCTCAACAGTATTTGCGGGGGCTATTGTTTCATAACTACATGTGTTGAAATACAGACTTCTTGCTTTTGGAGCATTTTGGCATTACTCTCATACTCGGGTGGAGACCAGTGACTGACACCATAGGACATATAGAAGACAAGTTATTGGGGGACTAGAGGCTCTTCTGAGTTGGGCCAGCCTGTTCAGAAGACATCATCAGGTAAGATGGTCCCTTGAATCATCTTGGGTGCCCAGAGAAGCCTGTCCTCTCTGTCCTTGTCACTGAGGAGTAAGAGAGAGTCTGCATCTTAAGTATCCTCCCAAGGAGGGCAGAAGCAGAAATAGCCTTTATTTTTTCAAATCATTTTCCCCATAGAGCATTTGATTTGTCCTGCTGCCTTTTGTAAGAAACAGTGTCGGACTGGGGATTTAGCTCAGTGGTTCTGCCACCTGCCTAGCAAGCAAGTGCAAGGACCCAGATTCGATCCCTGGTAGCAAAAAAGAGAAAAAGAAAAAAAAATTTAGAGCCAGGGATTTAGCTCAGTGGTTCCACTGCCTGCCTCGCAAGCACAAGGTCCTGAGTTCAATTCCTGGTACAAAAAAAAAAGAAGCAGTGTCATTGTGTTGGTATTTCCAAAGTCAGAGTTACATTCTAACCTCTCTTCAGGGTAATCAAACACCAAGTATAGGATGTCAAGTAGGTAGAGTGCATGAGCTCAGGGAGGTTTGATTTCACTTCCTGTGGCCATGAACTATCAGGGTAAGAGTCACTCTTGGAAACTGAACATGGTTGTACAACTTAGGCCTCGGGTGCCACATGAGGAGGCCAGGTAGGCCCGTGGTCTTACTTGAATCTCAGGAACTGAGCTGGGACTGAGACCTCAAGAATGACCATGTACCTGGCAGGGCAAAGCAGTGTGCTCATATTGTAGCTATCAGTATACTTGATTATTACCCTCAATGTAACTGATGCCTCCAAGGCAAGAGATGATGGCCTAATGTTCAAAGCTCCAAACTCTAAAGGTAGTTGGGCCAGGGTTGACTGAACCCAAAACCTTGAGAGGAGGGGGGCATGTGGAGACATAAAGTCAGGGTCCTGGCTCCAGAGTTCCTTTCTTAGTATCTCTCCTGAGCAGAGAGCAAGGAGGATGAACCGAGCAGAGTGCAGGTCACAGGCTGCAGTGGTGATGACTCAGCCTTCTCAATCTCTGACTCAGGCGACAAAGGGGCCTCTGTGCACTTCTGCTTCCCAGATCTTGTGGGTGAGGCCCTATCAGTGAGTTTGATTCCTTGTCTTTAGCAAGGATGTGGAGGGTGAGAAAGCATTTCCTCCCAGGAGTCCCTTTGGAGTGAGATGGAATCTCAGTGTTGTTTTTATTTACATTTCTGTAATGGTCAGCAATGTTGACCATTTCTTTGTGTATTTATTGGTCATTGTTATTTCTGTGAAGGGCCTATTTACTCTGCTTGCTCATTTTTTTGGATTGAATATTTTATTTTTTTAAGAAGGGTTTCTAATTTTTTTTAGTTCTTTATTTATTATAGATATGAGTGCTCGTGTCTAAGGAACCACTGGAAAAAATTTTTTGTCCCATTCTGTAGGTTGCTTTTTTAACTCTATTGGTTGTTTCTTTTGCTGTGCAGAAGCTTTTTAATTTAATATGATTCCATTTGTTGATTCTCAGAACTATTTCCTATGTAACTGGGTTTCTGCTCACAAAGTCTTTGCCCATATGTAAGATTTCAAGAGTTTTACCTATTTTGTCTTCCAGCAGATTGTTTCTGCTTTAATATTTAGATCTGTGATCCATTTTGATTTTAGTTTAGAACATGGTGGGAGATAGGAGTCTAGATTCAGTTTTCTACATGTGGAAGCCAATTTTCACTGTATCATTTATTAAAGAAGCTATCTTTCCTCCAGTGTATGTTTTTGATACCTTTATCAAATATGAAATAGCTGGATTGCCTGGAGTTGTTCATGCTCTATGCTGTGCCATTGATCCTCATTGTCTATTTTTGTGACATTACCATGCTGCTTTTTTTTTCTTTTTTTTTTTGGTACCGGGAATCAAACTCTGGACCTTGTGCTTACAAGGCAGGCAGCGGAACCACTGAGCTAAATCCCTGGCCCAACCATGCTGTTTTTATAACTGTACCTTTGTAATATAACTTGAAGTCCAGGATTGTGGTGCCTGCTGCTTTGCTTTTGTTGCCCAGGATTGCTTTTGCTCTTCTGGGTCATTTCCAGATTCCTATGAATTTTGGGATTGTTATCTCGATTTCTGTGAGGAATGCTATTGGTATTTTGACTTGGATTGCAGTTCTGGAAGTGTAGCCATTTTGTCAGTATTGGTTCCAACTATCCAGAAACAGGGTATCTTTCCATTTTCTGATGTCTTCACTGATCTGCTTTTTCAGAGTGCACTGCTTTGTTGTAGAAGTCTTTCATTTCCTTAGGTTAATTCCTAAGTATTTAATTTTTATTGATGCTATTGTGAATGGTAATGTTTTCCTAATTTCTTTCTCCATGGGTTTATTATTATACAGGAATGCTACTAATTTTTGTGTGTTGATTTGGGGGGGGGGTACTAGGGATCGAATTCAGGTCCTTGCGCTTGTGCAGCAGGTGGCATGTGTGTTGATTTTGTATCCTGCTACATTACTGAATTTGGATAGTGTACTAAAAGAGTTAAAGATTTCACGTTACAATGATACATGAATACCCATGTTTGTGGCAGCACAATTCATAATAGTTAAATAAATAAATAAGTGGCCTGTTGTGGCCTGTATTTAGATGTCCCCTCAAAGCCTCATGCAGATGAAGTGGGGCTTACTTTCTTGGAGGTGGCTGAATCTACAGTATGTGATGCTGGGATTAAGGGCATGTGATTAGTAAACCACTACATGTGAGTGAGTGGTTTGGCACCATCCTATCTATGGTAGTCTGGATGGAATAAAAGGGGCAGAAAGATGCTGTTAAGGTCCCTTGTTTCTTTGCTGTATTCTGCCATGAACTGTTGTCCTTCTTCCACCATCCCTTGAAGCCAGCCAATTATAAACTGAAATTTCTATGAACTGTAAGACAAATAAACCTTTCCCCCTTTAATTTTGGGTGTTGGGTATTTTGTCTCAGCAACAAGAGAAAAGTAACTAACAACACATGCCCTATATGTCCACCAGCAGATGCCTGGATAAATAAAATGTATTTGCATATGATGGAGTACTATTCTGCCATAAAGAAAGATACACTTGAGTCATTTGTAAGAAAATGGTTGCACCTTGAGACCATAATATTAAGTGAAATAAATCACACACAAAATTGAGAAACCTGAAGTATAAATAAAGAGCAAAGTAAAAGATAATAGGAAGTAGGGAGATAGATCTTACTCAAAGAGGAAGTCAATCAAGAGATGGAGAAAGAGGAGGGAAAGCAGATGAAAAAGGAATTTAGATGTTATGTACTATCTCTATACAAAGAATGTAAACATTATAACCTGTGTCATACCTGATACTAAAAAAAGTAATGGGATCAAGAGTTGGAGGAACAAAAAAGAAGGATTTTTTTAAAAAGGAATTAAGGGGCCGGGGATTTAGCTCAGTGGTTTCGCCACCTGCTGCGCAAGCGCAAGGACCTGAGTTCAATCCCCGATACCAAAAAATAAATAAATTAAATAAATAAATAAATAAATAAGGAATTAAGGGGCCGGGGATTTAGCTCAGTGGTTCTGCCCCCTGCCTTGCAGGCACAGGGTCCCAAATTCGATCCCTGTTACCAAAAAAAAAAAAAAAAAAGGAATTAAGATGTATTATATACATGTACCGATTTCTACAAGGAATGTAAACATTATTAGTACATTGTACTAGTGTAATAAATGTGTTAATAAAAAGTAAAAAAATAAAAGAAATGAAAAAAAACCCCACAAGGACCAAAGAATCCTTCCACAAGCCCTCTAACAATGGTATGTACATGTACCAAAACTACATAAGGAGTGTAAACATTATGAATTGCAAACATGTACCAATAAAAATCAAAATAAAAATACCAAAAATATCTGACTGTGAAGAAAAAAAAGAGTTACTGGATCACAGGTAGATTCTTCTCTTAGACAAAGTAAAGAGCTTGAGAGGGAAAAGCCACTGGCGATAGGTCTGGTAATTGAGCCTGTGATCAGCCTGGTTCCTCTGAAGCCCAGAGAATCCTGAGTCTTCCCCAGAAAAAGTTATCTTCCAGCATTGTTGGTACTTTCTTGAATCCAGAAAAATAGGTGGGCCTGTGCTGGACCTTTTATCTTCCTACACTCTATGTTTTACTGAGTTCCTCAAAATAGCTCACAAGAATTTGGAGAATTCCTTGAATTTTGTTGATACCAGTGGAAGGTTGCTTTTCAGTATTTTGGCCACATCTCAGGCTCCAGGAGAGGTGAACTCACATTCCTGGCATACAGAAAGAGATAATATAGGTTGGGAGAAACCAGAAGCACAAAAATACTTTAAAGACCAAAACAAAGACCAAAGGGTAGATGCTTTAGGATCCTTCTTGGGATTCTGTGTCTAGAGGAAAATGTAAGTAGACTTTCTGTGGAGGTTAACTGAAGTGCTAGCTGAAGTAGCCCTACCTTTTTTTGTACCTGATGGGTGCCCAGTAATTAGGGACATTGACAGTTATCTTTGTTATTGATATCATTTTTATCTCACCAATTAGTAAAGATGCTTGCCAGGCAGTTAAAGTGTATGTCTAAGGCATATTCCAATCTAATTACATTTTTGCAAAGGCCATTGACATTGAGAGTAGAAATTTGGAGAAAAAGCTGCCTCCAGAAAGGTATCAAAATGGAAAATGTTCTTCAATGAATCCCAGCAACCTCAAGCTGGATGTGTGAATTGTACGGGCGTCACTATACATGGAGCCAAGAAAGGCCTGGAGAATTCTTGGAGTTGAGAGACTGTCTTAGTGTTCTCAAACTTCAAAAGCACCAATGTGAAAGCCAGACCAATGTGTGAATCATCCCTAAAATTGGCAGATTACTAAATGAGAAATATGTCTTCAAATTCTGTGAGGTGAAAATTGTCAGGCAAAAGGGCCGAAGACCAAGACCAGACCAGGCCACAAGAAGCCTTTATTAGGGGAACAGATCTGCCGGGCTGTCTCTGAACAAAGGAGAGACAAAAGCAATATGGCCGGGGCAGGGAGAGTCTTTTATAGAGACTGGGGTGGGGTTTGTAGGGGCTGAGGTGGGGTTGAGTGAGGTAGTGACTAGGGAATGGAGGAGCCGGTGATGTCACTAGGTGGTAGGAGGTGAGCAAGTATTGGGTTACTCTCTAGGCGGGAACAGGGGCAGACTGGGAAGAAGGGTTTGTTCTTTGGTCGGAGCAACCATCTTGGCATGATGTCACAAAGGGGAGGGGCCAAGGCACGATAGGAATAGGGCAGCTACTATACATAATAGCTGCTGAGGTGGTGGGAGACCTGTCAAAAATGTATTGTCATTTGTGTTTCATGCTTAAAACAGAGAGAGAAAAATTGAGCTGAATTGTTGTGTCTCATAGCATCTCTCTGATCAAAATCTCTGTACCTAAGAAGCATGGGGAGGGAGAAAGGTGCTTTTTGATGCTGTTTACATTAGTTGTCTCTTAGGATTGAGGAATCATCAGCCTTCAACATCTTGGAAAGATGGCTTTGGAAATCATAAAGATCCCTGAATGGTGCCTGGGCCTCCTCTGCTGTCTGTGAACCATTCAGATGTGGAAGAGGACACTAGGTTCTAAACAGAAGGTCTTCCGGTAGCTTCTTGGCTGACAAGGATAGATGCATTTCGCCCATACCCATTTCACTTCCTGGCCCCAAGGTCCCACAGAACCTACAGCTCTCACATCTCAGTTGCTTTCAGACTTGAAAGGTTGCACACTAATACTACCTCCTGGCCCTTCTTCCACCCTCATTCTAGATTTAATCCTCTCAAGCCATTTTGATGAGTGGACCCAGACACTGACAAGAAACACTACCTCCAGGGAGGAAGGAAGATTGAATCTCCCTTGGGTCTCAGTGATCACCTTGAATTTACCAGGTCTCTGGACTTTTCTTTAGCCAATACCCACACTGTACTGCAGCCCACAGTTTTCGTTTGGTTTGGTTTTGAGATGGTAACTCACTGTGTGGTGTAGACTAGTCAGAAACTTCTGAGATTAAGTGATCTTCCTGCCTCAGCCTCCTAAGTCTGGGACTAAAGGTATATGGATGATGTTTAGCCTCCCCTTCTAATTCCTCAGTGCCATTCAAAGTCTTTCAACTTCTCCAAACAAAACATTTTATCTTGTTAGGTGTAATCTACTATATACCATAACAAATGCCCAGCCCTACCCTCCCCAGGCCCACCCTTACCCCTGGCCAATTCCCAGTTGTAGTTTTGACTAAACTTCATTTAGGGCAGTGTGAAGGTTGATTGTGTCAGCTTGAGAAGTTTGGCTAAGAGAAACTTAGCTAAATTTGGCTCAGCAATTCTAGCAGCAACCCCAGGGGATCCATCCTAGGGATGAAATCCTATGGGATCCACCCAAGTGCAGCTCTTCTCCTGGATGTTATAAAGGCAAAATGAGGAAGGATGTGCCTGCTTCTGTTCCTTTGGAGGAGTCCCCGTCTTTGCCTTTGATGTCATCTCCTGGCTTCCAGCACAGACTCTTCAGCTTCTGGCACAGATCCATTGGCCTCCTGATATGGACTCACAGTAAGCTCCAGACCTTTGACTAAATCCTGTGGTCTCCAGTGTGGAGACAGACAGACCCTCTGGAGTCTTCCTCTTCTGACTCTGGGTGTGGTCATTGTAAGCCAATCTTGTACATTCTTACATATTTGTATATCTTATGTTATATCTGTTTCTGTAGTGAATATTGACTGATACAGGCAGCCTTGATCTTCAAAGTCTGGAAGACCAACCACCCCTTGGTTCTCCCTGAATAGACATTTTATTTGTTGTGTTATGGAACATAAATTGTAAGTGACACTGTGATATGTGGGGATTTTTAATTTGGGTTTTTCCCACTTTGGGGATGATACCATCTTCTTCATAAAGCTGACTTAAACATTTGAGTAATTTTTATGTGCCTAAAATTTTCCCCGACAATTACACTTTCAGTTGGTTTTCTTGTTCTGTCTGTTTCATGAATGCATATGCGATTTGATCAGTTGAATCTACAGAATATTAAAAAACCAATCAGGATTCACTGGATGGAGATCCAGTAATGTGGTAAGATTTTGCTCTCATTGGAAGCTTTGAGCTGTAAATGGAAGGCATACCACAAAGTCCTGTTACAGCTTCTGAGGGGTCAGGGGAGCAAGGCAGAGTCCTGGAGCATTGGAGTCAATGCTGTATCCTCTCTGAGGTCTAGGCAGACAGCTTCCTGCATGACACCTAAGTCTGGTCAGTTGGGAACCTCAACCAAGGTCTCTAGGCCAGGCAGGTTTTTCCTTTTTCTTTCTCTATAAGAGAGCAGGTTTTTCTTCTGGCTTTCAGTGTAGTTTTGTCTTAATTTCAAACATTTTTATTTATTTTGATTTATGTAATTTTATAGATATTTAAAATAATTAGTTCAACAGATTTTATTTGAATGAAAGACATCTGCTTATTGGAATTTTACTGAATGACATTTTATATAATGTGTGACCAGCAGTTATTGTTCATATCATTTGTGATTTTGTGTCTTTGTTAGGTGCTCTTTCTTAAGTAAATGGTTACAAAATAGTTTTAAGATTTTTTTCTTTTACACGGGGAAGGAATAAAGGTTTATTCAAGATATCTAGGATACAACATGTAACTTTAGTTACAATGTATTGTACACTTGAAAATTGCTGGGAGAGTAGACCACAAATTAGTAAGTATATGGGGTAATGTATATGTTAGTTTGAGTTAGCCATTCTACAATGTGTATATATTTTTTTTGTATCGGAGATCAAACTCAGGACCTTGCGCTACCAAGGCAGGCAGTGGCAGGCACCACTGACGTAAATCCCCAGCCCACAAAGTCTACGTGTTTTAAAACATGTGATACACCATGGATGTATACAATATTTGTCAGTTAAAAATACTCTTTTGAAGCCAGGTGTGATGGCACACACCTGCAATTCCGGCACTAAGGAGGCTGAGGCAGGAGGATTGCCATGAGTTTGAGGCCAGCCTAGGCTACATAGTGAGACCCTGCCTCAAAAAAAAGGAAATATTATGACACCTATTGTCCATACATTTCTTATGTTTCTCACTTGGGTTATTATTTGTTCAAGTGGAGGAGGAGACTGCTGGGCCATGTGGCATTCTCATTTCCATTGTCCTTGGGTAAACAGGTGAGCATCCCGAATCTAACAATCTAACAATCTAAAATGCTTTAAAATTTGAAACTTTTTCATAGCCAAGATGATGCCACAAGTGGAAGATTCCACATCATAAAGTTTTGTTTCATGTACATAATTATTACAAATGTTATGTATAAAATTGCCTGAAGGCTATATTTATAAAGTATATATAAAACATAAATGAGTTTTGTGTTGACTTGGGTCCCATCCCCAGGTATCTCATTCTGTATATTTAGATGTTCTAACATCTGAAAAAGATCTGAAATCCCTAACATTTCTGGTCCCAAGCATTTCTGATATGGGATAATCAATCTGTAATATCAAATGTTTTTCTAAAAGAGGGCAGAGTCAGCTTTCAGCTCCTCAGTACTCACTTCCCAGGAGTCTAGAATTAAATGGAGCACTGGGTGGATATGGGGTGGGGCAAGTGGTCCTCAAGCCACCTTTCTGGCACTTGGCCAGATGCTTGTCTTGAGACTGGCAGAGACACAGTTATGGCTTAGTAGCCACTGACTATAGAATAGAATTTGAGTAAACTGAGGACTTCCTTGCTGTTGTCAGAGCAGGGACTTTGGCATGGGGTTGGTCCCTCTGAAGGGTGGAGAGAAGATAGATTTGCTCACACTTAGCCTGAGAAGGATGCTTTGTTCCACACATTTCCTCAGGATTCCTTTTGAAAAAGATTCATCAGGATGACCATGTTGACTCCACCAACACTCCTGGAGCTGGCTAAGCAGAGCCTGCTGAGAGATGAGGCCTTGGTCATTGGTTCCCTGGAGGAGCTGCCCATAGAGCTCTTCCCACCTCTCTTCATGGCAGCCTATGCTAGGAGATACAGCAAGACCCTCAAGGCAATGGTGCAGGCCTGGCCCTTTCCTTGCCTCCCACTGGGGCCCCTGATGACAGAACAGGAACTTCACCAGGAGAACTTTCAAGCAGCACTCAGTGGGCTTGATGCGCTGCTTTCTCAGGAGGTTCGACCCAGGTGAGAGTTATCTACTAGTCTGGGGAGGGCCTTGGGAATCTGAGCAAGACATAGTTGGGGTCAGGGCATAGAGAGTCAAAGGGTGGGCCAGGGGGTTCTGTTGGTGCCCGTGAGGAAGCTAAGGGAGGTCTGAGGGTCATTGCTGGTGTCACTTAGAGAATGAGCATCTGGATGTTCATGATTGATGAAGTTACACAGGTGACTGAAGGAACATGTACCCACTTCTACTCAGTGTCATGTAAAAATATGAGAGCAGGGACAAGTAAGGATCTCAGTGGTGAAGGGAGAATTTGATATTGGGTTTAGAGTAACAGTTGAAGTCAGATGTTTGTTCCCCACCTGATTCTGAGACTCCTGCTTTTAATTCCGAATTACTTACCTGTTTTCCCTATAGGAGGTGGAACCTGCAAGTGTTGGATTTACGCACAAATGTACATCAGGACTTCTGGACTGTGTGGTCTGGAACCAGGATGGATGTATGGTCGTTGATTGAACTAGAGGCTGCACAGCCCATGAAGAAAAAGCAAAAAGTGGGTAGTTTTGAGACACAAGCAGAGCAGTCCTTGGGTCCTGTGAAGGTCCTGTTAGACTTGTGTCTCAAGCAAGGCAGGAAAAATAAACTGCTCACCTCCCTCATGAAGAAGGTCAAGAAGAAAAAAGGTTTACTACACTTGTGCTGTAAGAAGCTGAAGATTTTTGCGATGCCCATCCAAAATATCAAGATGATCCTTAAAATGGTGCAGCTGGACTCTGTCCAGGATTTGGAAATTAATTGTACGTGGAAGATGTCTACCTTTGGGATGTTTGCTCCTTACCTGGGCCAGATGAGTAATATTCAAAGACTCCTTCTCTCCCACATCCTTACTTCCTGTACTTACCTGGAGAAGGAAGAACAGTATGTCAGCCAGTTTACCTCTCAGTTCCTCAGTTTTCATCACCTCCAGAAACTATATTTAGACTCTGTCTCCTTCCTTAAAGGCCACTTTAACAAGGTGCTCAGGTGAGAATTTGGTTAGGTTTCTCTGTAGACCGCAGCAGGCCTTTATCCATTTCAGTAACAATAATGGGCATCTACTGTGTGCCAGCCACAAGCAATGCAAGAGTGAAAAAGTCACTAGAAGTCAACACATTTATCTTCTTCCCAAGTATGTTATAATATAACTGCCCAAATAAAGGTTAGAGGTTGTTTTAATTGGTTTTCTGTTACTAATAATGCAGTAGCACAGACTGGATCAGTTATAAAAAGTTTTATTTTGGCTCACAGTTGTGGTCCAGGGTTGAAGGGTAACATCTGGTGATGGGATTCTTAATGGTGGTATCCCAAAATGGTACAGGGCATTAAGGCTAGAGACATGAAGTGCTCAAGGATCCAGCCAAAGAAGCTCTTATGGCAAACCCACTCTTGAGATAGCCTATTATCATCAATCCATTCATGAAAGCAAAGCCCTAATCACCTCTTTTATTGTCCCCTTCCCCTGGTACTGGGGATTGGACCCATGATCTTTACACTGAATTATATCCCCAGCTCTTTTTTTATTTTTATTTTGAGGCAGGGTCTTGCTAAGTGCCTAGGCTGAATTCAAATTGGTCCTGCTTCAGCCTCCTAGAGTGCTGGGATTACAGGCATGCAACCCTCGGCTGATCACCTCTTAAAGGTTGTACCTGGTTCCACCTCTTAGTATCTCATAATGGAGATTAAATTTCAACATGAATTTTGGAAGGGACAAACGATAGAGTCATAAACTAGGAGAGATGCTATTAACAGTGATCCCTAGGAACTAATGGGGGATTTCAGTCTGGGGGAGATTGGGTTTAGAAATTATTTCTTGGGAAGTGATGTCTAGGATAACAAACTAAGGGAGGAGAACATTGAAGAATGGAAAGTCCATCTGACATTAGACTTCAGATTGTCATCCCTGCACTCACAAACTTACTTAACAGTGAGTCTCTCCCTCCAACCCTATCTCAGATTTTCTCCCTGTAAAGGGTTGTTTTGAACTGTAGGAGAGATATGTAGTAAATGCATGATTATGGAGATGAGAGAAGAGTGGGAATGAGGAATGGTAAACAGTGATAGGTGGTTTACTGATAATACATTTTAAGTTGGCTGGTACCACCTTTGGATGTTGCTGATCTTGGCTAAATGTTTTCTTTGTGCATGTTTCCTGCTGGCCTCATCCAGCACAGAGATACAGGTGACTGGAGCCCAGGCAGGTAGCCAAAAGGAAGCTTAAGTTGAAAGCATTTTCCTTTTTTTGGTCTCTTTTTTGAAATTAAATTTTTTCCATTTTTGTTAATTAAAAAGCATTTTCAGTTGTATCTCTGAAACCAAAATTCAATGATATCTTTCCTTGCTTGAGACATGGGGTCAGGCTCTACTTGAGCATGTCCTGTTACCATCTTAATTCATGTTCACAGCACCTAAGAGGTGTATGTTCTCTGCTGGACAGAAGAGCAAAGGAAGATTTTGAGATTTCTATCACTTGACCTAGTTACACAGCAAAATTAGTAGCGGAGAAAGGACTCCACTTAACCCTGAACTTGCCTGAATGCCCCTTTACACTGTTCCGTCCTGGGAGTTGACTATAATCAGAAAGACTTTGGACGGGGGATTTAGCTCAGTGGTTCCGCCGCCTGCCTGCGTCACAAGCCACAAGGGCAAGGTCCTAAATTTGATTCCCGGTACCAAAAAAAAAAAAAGAAGAAGAAGAAAGACTTTGGGTTTGTCCTCCCCTCCACCCTCAAGGCCTGGATCATCCCCACCCTGCCCCACCCACCACCACCTCTATTCTCAAGCACTAACTGCTCTGTCTTTCCCCAGGTGCCTGAAGAGCTCCTTGGAGATACTCTCAATAACTAACTGCCTACTTTCAGAGTCAGACTTGATGCACCTATCCCAGTGCCCCAACATGAGTCAGCTAAAGGACCTGAGCCTGAGTGGGGTCAATCTGACCACTATGAGTCCTGAGCCCCTCCGAGCTCTGCTAGAGAGAGCCTCCTCCACTCTTGAAGACCTGGATTTAGATGAGTGTGGGATCATGGACCCTCAATTTATTGCCATTTTGCCTGGCCTGAGCAAGTGTTCCCAACTCACAACCTTCACCTTCTGTGGGAATTCCATCTCCATGGGTGTGCTGCAGAATCTCCTGCTACACACCATTGGGCTGAGCAAGCTAAACCACGTGCTGTATCCTGCTCCCTTAGAGACTTATGAAGACAACCCAGGCATCCTCCACCTGGGAAAACTTGCCCACCTGCATGCCAAGCTAAAGCAGATGCTGCATGATGCAGGGAGGCAAGCCGTGGTCTGGTTCAGCGCCAACCTCTGTCCTCACTGTGGTGACAAAACTTTGTATGACCCAGAACCCATCCTTTGCTCCTGTTACATCCCTCTTTAGCTGGGTGCACATATTCATAGCTTTATTCTGGGCCTATGAACACTAAAGCTCAGAATGTAAGTCCTTCTAGGAGAAAAAGAGAAGTCTTAGTTTCAGATAACTTCTCATATAAGTGGAAAAAGGGAAGTTGTTATGGTTGGGAGTCAAATGTTGATTTGGGGAGATACATCCTATATAGTTAGAAATACACATTTGAATTTCTGGAGAAAGGATTTGGGCTTGGGAGGTACATGTGGGAGTTATCTTTGTGTGTATAGTTGTGAACAAATGGCCAGAAATAAAGAGAACTTTAGTGTAAATTGTTTTTTTTGTTTTTTATTTTTATTTTTTGATTGGCGAGCCATTTCTAAAGGAACTACTTGATAACATTTGGGCTTTTTTCTTTTTGTTGGTACCAGGGATCGAACTCGGGTCCTTGCGCTTGCGCAGCAGGCGGCGAAACCACTGAGCTAAATCCCCGGCCCGGGCTTTTTAAATTTTATTTTATTTTTTTAAATTCTTTTATTGGTACATTGTAGGTATACAACACAATTACATTTCTCAATTGGAATTGTACCTTTACATAATACATCTTAGTTCTTATTTTTTCCCCATTCCTAGCCCTCCCTTCACCCCTTCCACCCTTCCCTGTTTACAAAGACTTTATTTCCATTTTTTCCATTTCTCAGCATTTTTTCTTTCCCTTCTTTCCTTTCCCCTGCCCCTCCCACTACCCCTACCCCTTTGGACCTTTTCTTCCTATTTTGCATTATCGATTATTCATTCTAATCATTGGTACATTTTAGGTATACAATATAATGACATTCATCATTGGACATTTGCACCTTTACATAGTCTCTCTTGGTTCTTATTTTTCACCCTTGCCCAGCCCTCCCTTCAACCCCTCCATTCCTCCCTATTTACAAAGATTTTGTTCCTATTTAGTGTAACTTGTTTATTTATTCTGTGGTATATAAATCACCTTCCCCAGTTGAGACCTCAGGAATGCCTGATTACTGATAAAATGGGGAGGCAGTGAATGTCTGTAATGCTTACACTCTAGGCTTCACAGTGTTCTACCCCAGGATCTCATGACACCATTTATCATTTCCTTTTATTTGGTTCTCTGGGGCATTGGTTGCCTCCTTACTTATTTCTGTGGATACTTATTTCTGTGAGTCAGTGCACAGAAGTTTTGTCTTCAAGGCTTGAATCACATTAAGTGCTTAATAGAACTACTGGAGTAAAGAGTTCTTTAGAGAGGTCATCACTTCTAACCCAACTAAGACCCTGTACCCACTCTTCCCTGTTCTCTGGATGCACAAGCCTCAGTCTCTGGCTTTCGTCTGTGCCAGTGTAGGGCTTCACTGTGCACAAACCAGCACCCAGTACTGGAAGGTGATGTCATCCTAGAGATGAGCAGGAGCCTCTAGACTTCCTTGGGTCTCACCCATGCCTATCATGTCATGTTCCCTGGTCCAGCTCCTGCTTGAATTTAATTAGTGACCAATTAGTATCTAAATTTAGGACTGGGGATGCTGCTCAGTAGTCGAGCACTTGCTTAGCACATGAGACCATGGATTCAGTCCCCATTACCAGCTAAAAACTAAATTTATTTTAGTAAAATGCTTTGATCATATGTGATATTTGTATCACACATTATCCTTAGGTGGTCCTATCAGTGAGACAGTGACTGTGCCATATGATCTCTGTTAAGGAAATAGTAAGCCACCTCAGATCCAGTGAGATGCCTTGGATTCTGGGTCGAAATAATGAACAAACACATGCCAGGTCCTAGGAAATATTCTTTGAGGTGAATGAAGATGAATGTCCAGCTTGGAGGTAGGTTGAGGCCACTCTGTAGGACAATCTATTAAAAAATAAAGATGTCATATTGTGGGACTGGACTCCATACTTGAACAGTTGACCTGACTGCTTAGGGGATAAAATGCTGTCACCTTCCAGCCCCTACCTTAACTGTGCCGCTGCATCCTGCCCCTAGGCTGTTGTACCTTCCTGCTGATATAATCTCCCAGAGAAGCACCTGAAAAAAGGTTACACACTAAGATCCAGGGATAGAGCTCTAGCTCTACATTGCTCTGAGTATGAACAAGCCCAGTCCTGCTTTGGAGGCCTCTTTCTTGGTGCTAGCCATTTACATGTATGTTGCCACCACTGGTGGTAACAGCAGTGACAACACAGTTGGCAACTTCCAATCATGACAGAGCAGGTCCTCTATTCTCTTCCCCCACAATAGTTATCATTTTTTGCTGTCATCCCCTTCTAGGCTCCTATCCTAAGCCTCATAAATAACAGTGCATCAGCTCAGGGAGCATACTGTCATTCTGAAAGAAAAGAAAATGCAGAAACCCTTATATCCAATGGTGTGCTTGAAAAATGCAGTTAAGAAGAGTGTCTCAGCCAGGCATGATGGTCCATGCCTATAATTCCAGCACTTGGGAAGCTGAAGCAAGAGAATTACAATTTTGAGTCCTGCCTCAAGTCCTTGTCTCAAAATGTAGCTCAGTGGGAAGGCCCTGGGTTCAACCCCCAGTACCACACAAAAGGGAAGGAATGGAAGAAAGATAAGGGGAGAAGGGAGGGAAAATGTCCTATTTTTCCTGAAATACACCCTCTCCCAGCATCATCTGGCACAGACCCAAGTTACAGGGAATATTCCCCAAAAAGGGAAACTAGCACCTTTGGGATTTCAGGGCTATGTACCCAATGGGCAAATTCTCCAGGGAAGAAGAGCAAAGGAAAGGCATTGCTTTAGGTTCATTAGCAGAAAAATAGAGAAGATTAATATACACCACCTGAGGTCACTGTGAGGGTCACTGGGGCCATGCCCAGACATGGATGGTCCAATGTAATTATTCACTGCCTAATGGAAAGAAAGAAAAATAGACACTGTATGCTTTTGTCTTTTCTAACCGCTGTAAGAAAATAGCACAGACTGAGTCATTTAGAAGTAAAAGAAATTTATTTTTCAAAGTACAGAAAACTAGGAACTTCCAAGATCAAGGCCTCAGCTTTGATGTCTTGTGAGGGCTTATCTCTGCTTCCAAAACAGCATCTTGTGCTGCATCCTCTGAAGAGGATGAACATTGTGTCCTCACATGGTGGAAGGCCAGAAGGGATAGAAGGGATTGGGTGCTTTCTTCAATTTTTTTGTTAAAAACATTAATCACATTCATGAACTTGCAATACTCATGACTTCATCACCTCTTAAACTATTATCATATTTGGTATTAGTTTCCAACAAATTAATTTCAGGAGAACACATATATTTGAACTGTAGTGTTAGAGCTTGCTTCTAAAACAGAATGCCTTGGATCAAAATGAGGTGAACTACAGATAGGCCGGAACTTTTGGAGTTCCTAGGGCCTTGCCCACCCACACCTGCCAATGGAGGCCTCATTTGAGGGTGAATCTGGCAACATTCTTTGTTTGTTTGTTTTGGTACCAGGGATCAAACTCAAGACCTTGTGCTTGGGAGGCAGGTAGTGGAACCACTTAGCTAAATCCCTGGCCCTTCTGGCAACATTCTTTATGCAGAATTTAGTCTTTAGCATCAATGCAATGAGTTTTTGAAAAGTTGAGTTTGGCTGGAGAGAGATCTTGTTGGTAAGGATAGCCATCCAAAAGAGGGAAAAGTGGTGACTATCCATGGCAGGGGACCATATATTTGAAGGCTCCTTAGACAGTTCATCTCTAAGTCATTAAGATGCAAGCAAGGGAAGTATAGCACACATGATTGCTTGGTATTAACAATTCACCCTGGAGGTCCCCAAACTGTTTAACAGGTAGGCTTGGACTTACAGCAAATGTGGCACACAGATATTAGACAGAAGGATCTGAATTGAAAAGAGACAGAGTGGGATCCAATGCATGCTCAAGGCCACGTAGCCCAGGCTGGCCTCAAACTCATAGCAGTCCTCCTGCTTCAGACTCCCAAGTGCTGGGATTACAGCTGTGTGTCACCATGCCTGGTAGGATCATTATTGTACAAGTGTGACACTCAACATTTGAAGTACTGGCTACATGGCCAGATCCTGTCTCAAAAAAAAAATTCTTATTAGACAATAATGGCTTATAGTTCATGCTTCAGCTACATTCAGCACTAGAAAGTATTTTTTCTTAGTCATTGCAACATTAAGGTTTGGAATAGAATATTTGCAATCATTCACTGTTAATTCTCTGAAAATGAAGAAAATCAAGCTGAAGAAACTGAATTATTGGAAGAAGCAGAACTCCTACAGATCAGCCAGATGGATAAGAATTCACCCTTTTTAGAAAACTCTTTAAAATTTCTAATTATGATCAAAGTGTTTAGATCTTTAAGTGAAAAATAGGTATACTGGTCAGATTTTTATAACTGTGATCAAATACCTGACACACACAGCTTAAAAGAGAAAATGTTTATTTTGGCTCAATGTTTCAGAAGTTTTTGTTCATGGTTAAATGGCTCCATTGATTTAGGCTGATGGTGACACAGAAACATCATGGCAGGACTTCTGGGAAGATGACAGAGTGGTGAACAGCAGGGAAACAGCTTCTCCGAGATTTGGTGTTCAGACATTGGAATATAGCAACATGAGGAAGAGAAGGAGAGAAATGAGTCCCTGGGACTAGCAAGGATCTGAAGCAAGAATTGAAGCTCACAGGGAGAGCAAAGAGAGAGACTTCAACAAAGAAGGAGGTAGCAAGCAGCACTTTCTTCTTGAGCCTTGACTCACTGTGTGAGAAGGGGAACTTGAACCAGCAGATTCACGGTGACTACTGGTGACCCCAGAGACCTCCACAGAGAAACACATCAGTGGAACAGAGCAGTGGACACAGCAAATTGCAGTGGCTGGCTGTATTTGATGCTATTATTGTTGCTGACTGTACTACTTTAGCCAAGGTGACATAGTTGTTCTAATCAGTTGTTTTTCCTGGTGTGCCGAGACTGAGATTGTCTTAGGGTCATAAACAATACTGTAGGCCAGTTTCACAGAACCAGGGGTTAGGCCAAATAGGCAGCAACTTCTCATTTTCAATTAATTGAATAGGTAGGATCTTGCAACAGATTCAAAACCCAAAAGCTAGCCACACCTGGAAGACATCTCTGAGAAGTACTCATTTCCTAAGGGTTCTAAATACTAGCAATAAAGCTACTTGCCGTAAGCAATTTATAAGCATCAACCCAGAAATTAAACTAAAAAAAAAATAGAAAATGAGAAGAAACTTAAGCAACATGCAACCCCAAACTTACAGCTCACCAAAGGTAAACCCAGGGGGCAATAAGGTGGAACAAT